GAGAGAGAGAGAGAGAGGAATATGTGAGATACGATGGATCCTAGAGATTTTCTTCCTATCTGCAACATTTTATTGTAGTATATTTAGTTTCAAATTAACACTAGGGATTCCACCCCTCCCTCCACCAAAACACAAACACGAAAAGAAAAAAATATAAGAAAATAAAATTTCTAACTACCAATAGTCCCCACAAGAACACAATCCTCCCTTGAAGTGATGGAAGCGGTTCCGATCTCGCACAACAATCTCCCGATGGAAAATCTCAGAGACAAACTTTGTCATAGAGTGACAGTCACTACAAACTCTAAGATTCTTCACAATACGTAGTGTTGTGCCATGGCTAGTGTTAATTAGTCCAAAAGCAATAGCCAGCTTTTCACTGTGCCTGCACAATGCGTACTCCTTTTCCTCCTCATCCACATCAAGCAACACTTGTGAAGTGTTTGCTGTGTACCCTGCGTGTTTCAGACGCTCTGTAATCTCTTCTAACATGGAGTATATATCTTTAGTTTGAGGATGTGATTCCTCTCCCATTCGAAATTCGTAGACTACACCATCCAATTCTATGAGGCTACAACCTGGTTGCTTCTTAATCTTCAAACCCTTCATTGTTTTCCTCACATTTATCGCATCTTTCCACCTCTTATTAGATGCATATAAGTTCGATATAAGGACATAAGTTCCATCATGTGTAGGCTCTAGATCTATAAGCTTTTTGGCAATTCTTTCCCCTAGATCAACCTTACCATGGATCCTACAAGCCCCAAGAAGGGCACCCCAAACTGAGGCATCAGGTTCCATAGGCATGTCATCAATGATCTTCATGGCGTCCTCGAAAAGTGAGGCTCTACCAAAGAGATCAACCATACATCCATAATGCTCAATTTGAGGTGTGAGCTTATACAAGTTTGGCATGGCCTTGAAATGGTGTCGACCCTCTTCAACCAACCCAGCATGGCTACATCCAGATAGAACTCCAATTAGTGTAACACTATCGGGCTCCATCCCTTGCCTTATCATTTCAATGAAGATCTCTAGGGTCTCTGGACCCTTCCCATGAATGGCGAACCCTACAATTATGGCCGTCCAAGAATACACATCCTTGACTCTCATGTCACTAAAGACTAGGAATGCACTGTCTATGCTCCCACACTTCGCATACATGTCAATAAGCGCGTTACCAACAAACCCATTTGTTTCAATGTTATTCTTTCCTATATAGGCATGGATCCATTTGCCTAAATCTAGAGCGCCCAAGCTAGCACAAGCACAAAGCACCCCAACAATAGTGTGGCTATCTGGGGTGGCCTCATTTGTGCACAATAATTGGCGAAAAGCTGACAATGCCTCCTTAGAAAACCCTTGCTGTGCTAGTCCAGCAATAAGAGCATTCCATGTGACTACATTTCTTTTAGGCATTCCATCGAAAATTTTCAAAGCCATGTTCATGTCACCACATTTCAAATACATATCAACCAAAGCATTACCCACAAATACATCTAATTTCACCCCATTTTTCTCTATGTACTTGTGGACCCTTTCACCCAATTCAAGGTCCCCTAATTGAGCACATGAAGATAAAACAACAGTCATTGTCACCTCATCTGCCTTTATTTTCGCCAAAGTCATGTTGAGAAAGGCGTCAATTGCGTCCCTATGAAAATCCAAGTTTGCATATGCGGTAATCAATGTAGTCCAAGAGACCAAATCAAGCTCGTGGGTTTCATCGAATAATTGGCGGGTAGCTTCGATGCAAGCACAATCAGCATACATTCTCATCAGATTGTTGACTACATAGACATCACAAAGCAACCCAACTTTAATAGCTTGAGCATGAATCTCCTCTCCTTCCTGTAATGCCCCAAGTCGAGCGCAAGCTCTAATGATAAATGGGTATGTATAATTATCAGGAATCGCCCCTCTTTGGACCATGTCTTTAAAAATTAATATTGCTTTTTCGGGCTTTTTGCTTTGAGAAAGGCCCCTTATGATGGAGTTGTAGAAATGGGTAGTTGGGTTTGTGATCTGACAGAAAAAGGCAAGTGCATAATCGATGTTTCCAAAAGGAGAAATAGAAGAAAATGACAAGATTTTGCTCAGAACTAGTGTGGATTGTAGATGGCTTAGTTTGATTACAGGGACATGAATTTGCTTCAATTCTTCCATGTTTCGACACCATTCGAGTTTTTGAAGGATGAAAGGGAGTTGTGGGGTAAGAGTAGAATTAGGGTTAGAGTTGTGGGGGGATTGACATTGGGGTTTTGGTGTGTAAATGGGGGAAATGGGCAAATGGGCAATTGCAGGTGAAGCCATAGCTGCCTCTACATGGAAGCGAGAGGAACGAAGCATAAAGAAGGGGATGCAGAAAAGAGTGTATGGCGGGGGAAAATTGTATTTTTGAAAGATGGGTACTAGCCGTTCGCGAGTTCTTTCATTGCTATTGATAGATATTAAAATAATGTTATTAAAAAATATTAAGAGAATATTATTTATTATTTCCATCAACTCGTTCATCGAGACGCTTTGGCCGAGTGGTTAAGGCGTGTGCCTGCTAAGTACATGGGCTCTGCCCGCGAGAGTTCGAATCTCTCAGGCGTCGCCACTTTTTTGTTATCTGAGTTTCATTCTCAATCATGCTTATTATATTTTTTTTTTCTGGGAAAATATTAAAAAATTTGAATATTGAAAAAAAGTAACTCTTGAATACTGAACAATTGATAAAGATGCGGATATTCACCTTAGGCTAGCTGGGTTTCATTTTCGGGGAAAATATTAAAAAAAGTTTTAAAACCCCTTACGGTATTACTGAGTTAAAAGATTATAAATTACAATATATGCTTTTAATATTATGCAGTAAGAACTTATATTCTCTAAAGGAGATATTGAAAAATTTCTAAATTGCCTTTTCGGTGTCGGGAAGCCCAAACGATTACATGTGCTTTTATAATTTTACCTTATGAGACATCTTAACTGAATGATAATTGGGGTAAAAATTATCAAAATACGCTTAATTATTCTGACTTTTTAAAATTGAATAGGAGCATTTAAAAAAAAAAGAAGGTAGAACATATTAATTGATGTAAAAATTTAAAAGTGTGTATAATTTGTAATCTTTTGACATTTTAGTGATATTGCAAGGGGTCCACCCCCTTATATTTTCCTCTTCTTTTTTAATGTTAGCCTACATGGACATGGTCATACTCATGGCCTTTACACTTTTTGTTATTAAAAAACCAACCAGTCAACTTAGAATCGCCTGAGTAGACGCGAACAATTAGGATCATTGGGACCCTTATCGGCATGAAAAAACCTTGAGAAATAGCTTTTGAGTGTTTACTTTTCTGGCCTTTTTGGATCAATTGTTGATCCTATGCTACAAAACCCCTCCTAATAGATCAATTTCGGCATAAATTATTCCATTGTAGATTCAATAGAAGGCCTATTTTAGAAAAATTCAGTTTTGGGGTGAGGTTTTTACATCAAAACCTCCTTTTTTTCTGTTTTGAAGCCTAGAAAACCTTGCTCCTTTATTTTATTTACCCTGTCAAATTGCGCAACAAAACACATTGAAATTTGTTTCAAATTGTTCATATTTCATCCCTCCATAAATTTGTTACAAAGAACAACATTTTTTATTGCAAGGGTTTTAAAAAAGGGCAATTGGATTGAAACTTGCCAATCAGGATAGGGAACTGGAGGGGAGGTTCTACAAAAATATCGGGCTGGTTGTAGTTGATTCTCTAACATAACTGGTCAGATCGGAACCTGTTGATCTGGATCGAGAAGCAGAGGGGCTGGCTTGGTTTTGCCATAATATCGAGCTAATTGTGGTTGCTTCTTTGAAAAAACTGGTCCCAGCTTTTTTTTTATTTATTTATTTTTTTATTTTTTTTCAGTTTTTTGTTAGTTTTTTGTTCTTTAATTTTTTACATTTTTTATTGGCCAGATCGCTCATCCCAAATTTTTTTTTTCGATGAGCGATCTGGGTCACCAATCCATTCTTATAGGTAAGCAAATCTAAGTTTTCACACACCTATTTGACAATTTTTTTCACAAACCAATTAGTTTTAATTTTTTTAGTTTTAAGATAGGGAAAAGTTTATATAAGGTTGTAACCTTAAAATGTAGAATCACCGATGCACCTCAAAAATCTATCGGAAAAGCTGTTTTAATGTTTAAAAACCCTCCAATTGATCATCTCGACATCGAAATGTATGAATATTAAAAAAAAAAAAAAATTGAGTCCCAAAAAATAGTGCATCTTGCAACACATTATCTTGACCGTCCATTTTCAAGATTTTCATATGTTTATAGATCTATTTGATTTTAACCATTTTAGAGTTTAAAATTTTCTAATTAGGTATGAAAATAGTTTTTAAGATAATTCTAAAAAAAAAAATTTACAACAAAGTTTAAAATTTTCTAATTACATGTTATGATAAGATTTGGAGATGCGCCTTAATTGGATTGTTTAAGGTTGCAACCTTATAAAAACCGCACTATTTTTAATTGTTTTAGTAAACTCACGATAATATGGAGTTGGTTTGATCACCGAGTCGACCGAAACCAGTTGGTGGGCGACCCAAGCTGACATTGGGAGCACCGCCTGACAGAAACGCCCAAAAAATAAGAGGAAGCCCAAATCCCAAATCCATGCGCACAGGCTAGTAGTGAGCCCAATGACATGCAGCTACGGACTCACTTTTGGTGAGCCGTGTGGTCACTTACACGGTTCATTGGGCCTCATCTTTGCACTTTGCTCCATCACCCCCCAATCATGCTCAATAATTTTGATGTCATGTGTGGGCACTTGTACTATTTGGGAGACTTCTCAAAAGTTTACTTGCTTTAAAGTTTGAACCACTAGAAAAAGTACTTCTCACCCTACCACATGCTCAACCCTCAACTAAACTCATTATTTTTTATCTATTTTTCTCCCTACCACTTGCTCAACTCCTCCAAGTTTGTCCCACCACATGAATAAAAAGGATGAGGTTTCTATAAGACATAGGTTTTATGAAGACAAAATAAAGCCTCACCTCAAACTGTTTTCGAAAAGCACTTTAGGCAACGGAAATTTCCATGATGGCTCTAAAAATAAATTTTCAATGCTAGCAATCAAATTTGAAACTAAAAAAATAGTATAGATCTTGCGGACTTATGAACACTTACTTTTAGGGCGAAATGAGTGGTTTAGATAGTTTGTTACAATATACACTATTTTTAAAGCTTGAAATTTTTTTTTTGTTTTTGACAACCATAATGTTTAAGTCAAGATGATTGATGTAAAGGTTTTCTAATGCTTGAATGCAATTTTCGATGAGTTATGAGGTGAGGCTTTCCTTATTTTTATTAAACGATTTTCTAAGGAAAGGATAAAATGATATAAAGACGGGGAACATGAAAGGTAAAATGAGTTGCTCTCTATTGATATTTCTTTTAAATGAGTTGAAATTGAAAGTAACTAATTTCTAAAGTGTTTGTACATAATGCGACTATTCATTTGAATACAAGAAAGTCACAATTACTTATAACCAGTATTTTAAAAAACGTCGAGTCGAACCGGACTCGCCCGGTTCGACTCGGAAATCGTGAAAAGGGGACCGGATCGCCTAAAAAATCGAAAATCGTCCGGTTCTAGAGAGAACCGGACGATTCTGTACAGTGAATTGCCGATTCACTGTACGGAATCGGCAAGTCCGAACAATGAATCGGCGAGTCCCGTACGGTTTTTTTTTTTTTTTTTGTAATCCATGATAGATTTTTTTGTAATACTTGATCGATTTTTTTGTAATCCATGATCGAATTGTTTTTGTTTTTTTGTCAATCCATGATCGAATTTTTTGGTTTTTTGTAACCCATAATAGTAATTTTTGTAATCCATGATCGAAATGTTTGTTTTCTTTTCTTGTAATCCATGAT